TGCTTTGATTGACAGGAGATCTTTGTGAAATAAAGCACATGCATGCCACAAGTCAACAAACGCACTAAAGCTAGACAACTTATAGAAAATGCAGATTTATAAAGTAATCTTCTGCCCCTCTTGAACTTTACCAGCCTCCACAGCTCGTCTCCTGCAATTCTGACTTAGTAACAGATGGAGCTATGTTCAGTTAACTCCTGAATCCTGCCACATCTGTCAATGAAAGGCACCCTGGGGAGAACCAAGACCAACCGGGGGTGCAGCGATGACTCACAGTGGCTTCCACACTCAGTGGCTTCCAGTAATACTCTGACAAGGGCAAGTTCACTGAAGTGACAAAACGGGAAGACTCTGACATCAAAAACACGTTTAATTGGATCAAATAAATGTCACATCTTTGCTTTATCTTATCTCTGTTGTGTATAACACTTGTCAACATGAAGTGGCAGAAGAATGGCCTATCATCTGGGCGTGCTGCATCACATGCAGTTCATTAAAACATGGTGAAGTGGCAGTTTTCTGGTTGACCATCGGCATGCAGGGTCGAGAAGTTTCAATGCTCAGGAGGTATTTTCTTACCTCGGGCTTCCAGGAAGGAATCTACTCTTAAATGTCTCCCATCACCGGAAAAAAAACAACAAAAAAAACAGGGAATAATTGGTCTGTCCAGACCCAATGGGCTGCTGTAATGTCTGGTTTAGACAGAAGTGTCTACCTTTCAGACCTCCCAGGTAGGTGGAAATCAATGCCACCCATGTCATAAGTGGGGCTAAGAGGCGCTGAATGTGTTTGTGTCCGCACAAAACATCCAAGGCTGTGGTCTCGGCAAGAGAAGCCTGAATTCAATTTAAGACAAAAGAGACGGGGGAGACTGACGGTGGATGATTTTCTTTGTTATTCATCCCGATTCACTGCCCTGACTCACACCATAATCGCTCCTGCTGTGTAGAATGTTCAGACGGTTGCAGAGGAAGAAGATGATGAAACGGTTGCTGTCAGAAGGAAGACAAATGGCCTTGTGCCCACATTAGCACTTCATTAAGCAGGCTGGGTTCTAAGTGCTTGAGTCGAAGATAACTGGACATTTTATCTTGACTCTTGCACGAAATTTAACTCTAATTCAAAAGTCTTTGTTAGTAAATTAAACAAAGGGTTCTTAAACTTTTTAGACCTTGAGCCAAATGTAATGTTATTTAGCTCTCATCATTATTAGGTCTAAAAAAATAGTTATTTGTCCATGCACAACATTTTGCACATCCATCATCCATCCATCCATACATGCAAACATACACACATGTGTCCATCCATCCATCCATAAGCCATCCATCCTTTCATCCATCCATCCATCCATACATACATACATACATACATACATACATGCACCCATACATGTGCCTATTTCTAGTTGCATAGTATGTATGGACATAATTATGTTGCCTCTGTTTACATAAATACATACATTTACATTGCTTTGTAATGTAGCTGTTTTATTTTGCGTTTTTATATTATTTCTTCATTTACATTTCTTTTTATATGCTTTTTTTTATGATTGTTTGTTGTTGTCTGTACCTCATCTGTGTTCTTTGTTTAAAACAGGTCTCTCCTGTAAATGAGTCCTGAGTCCTTGTGGCTCATTGAGACTAACCTGTATAAATCAAGGTTGACTGAAAAAATAAAAAGCAACAATTAGCAACATACAAACGCTTGAAAATGTTTGTCACTTTTAGTGCTCTAAAAATCCAGGTTTATGCTAACACTAGTGGCATAGATGGGATTTGGCCTTGCATTGCAGAACGTTGCTGTTCAGTGGGCTGACGTCCTCATTCCTCACTCCAAACTGAAATCACTCTGACTGCTCTTTACTGCACATAAAATACTGAGTACTCATACCTATGCCAAAAACACCACTTCAAAAAGCAAACAGCAACAAAATACTATTCCGTTCATTTTTCTTTCATTTTTGCTTTTGTCGGCGTTTAAAATGCTGAGCTAAACTTGCTTAATAAAAATAATAATGCAGGTGAGTAAGGATGTTGATATCTGAAGCCAAATAGTTTGTCACAGCAAAGACAAGCACTTTTTTTTAAATATATATTTATGAATCCTCAGCTGAAAAAAAACAAAAAACAGCATAAATTACCAAGATAATAATTTTCAAAAGGCTTGTGTCACCAGAAAGAGTGAGTAAGAACAACCTGTTTTTTTTTTTTTTTCTATTCAGTGAGGAAGAAAAAAAACCCAAGAGATTTACTGGAAGAGGGATTATGATGTCCAAAAGAGTTAAACACAACAGGATTTATGGGCCCATCAAAGAACAGAAGAAGTGTTTAAATGGAGAGACAAACAGCAGGCCCGACCACAGTGTTTTGCTGACTAGTGCAGGCCTGAGAGATGAGTCATGGCGGTGGAGGCAGAGGAGGAGAGAAGAAAGGGTACGAGGGGGAAGAAGTACTCTTGGACATTATCAGGAAGAGGTGAAGAAAAATGAGGAATATTCATGTGGGTTTACTTCTTAGGCAAAGGGGAGATTCTTAAAAAGATCCATGGTATGATGTGCAGTGAGATGTATTATAACAGTGACCTGAGATAACAAGCAGATGCTGCTGTTAACTTCAGCTGCAAAAAACATACCAAAAAAAAAAAAAGAAAGAAACTTTTCAGTGTTGTTTCCTTTCTTTCACAACATCTGATGTGAGCTGGATGCACAGCTAATGCCTGTAAAAGTTGAACTCCAGTTTTAGGAAATTACGGCACAACAAAAGTCCCCAAGGAAAGTATTATGCACGTTAAACCATTACACAAACGACCTCAAAAGGTTTGATTGAAGTGAAGCTGTGATTAACACCGCTGTGCGATGACGTGTTCGGCTGCTGCAACTCGAGCCCCACAAAAACCCTCTGTGGCAGGAAACATCAAGCCCAGGCCTGTGTGACGAAAACGGTCCGTAGAGGCCTGTGTGAAATGACTCAGGGACTCTTAAAGATTAGAATCGGTTAAAGGAAGCAGACAGTGGTCACCGCATCCACGCTAAACCCCACCAGAGCAGAAGATCAGCGCTCGCATGTGCTCAACAGGAATGAATAAATAGTAAATCTAAGGATTTCCTTAACTGTTGCTGTAAAGGACGATGGAAACAAAAAAAAAAATTCTAGATGTAATACTACAACAAATAAGGAAAGATGGACATTTTCCATTTTAAGCATTTGTTCCTTTTTACTTAGGTGGAAGGGACTTTTGTCATGTTGTCAACACATCTGACTACTAAAATGAGTGGACAATTTTAAACTTACTGCTAGTTTAAATAAAGAAATAAAATAAAAGTGCAGATGATGAGTGGTGAGTCTAAATCTGAGGACAGAAACTGTTAGTACAACTCAAAATACAATTCTTACAAAAAAAAAAAAAAAAACAGATTCCACTTTGAAAGACATACCAAGCTAACAATTTGAGCTATTGCTTGCAAATATGCTATTTATTTATTTTTTTAAATAAAGCAAAGCTCTTTATTAGTTTAGGGGAAATGTTATGCTCAGAATTCAATTAGTGAAAAATAATATTAAAGTGTTTCAATTAGGAGAGTGGATTTTCAACACTAAATTTAACATTAATTTAAAATCTCATAAATAAGTACAAATGTATATGTGAAGACAGAGACGAAGCTGAAAGAATAAAATGGAAGTTGAAAAAAAGTTTAACTTTGGTTGTTTGGTTGAGCTCTCTGATTGGCTAAAACATTGTTATCCTTAAACCTTTTATGAGTACCACCACAGTGCATCTCACTAAATACAATCATTATGAACAATGTAAAAAATCAACAGTACACATTTACAGGTTTATATTTATATATGACTACAGCATGTAAACTTGAAAAACACTTAACGCTGGTTGAAAGTTACAGTTCAATATGTAATGGTTCTTGCAGTCCTTGCTGAAAACAGCAGTACTGCAGTTCTGACTATTCTTCTGCTTCATTACTAAAAACAATTTTGAGTCAACTTAAATCAAATTTTATTACTGTTTTGCATCTTTGGTTGCTATTAGGTCCTACAGACACGTCGCTGTTGAAGCTTTAAGTAGCCACTGGCACATTAGTCATCATTGTCCATTCCAGTTTAGGGATTATTCACCACTGTACATGTTTTTATGTTTTTCTTTTGTTTTCATTTAGAACCAAGCTTAAAATTTGCTTTGACCTCACAACTTTTTTGTATACCTCTACTTTATGGCTTTTACATCATGGTCCAACTAACAACAGCTAATTAGATTGTTGTTGACTTCTAAATAGTTGATACCAAAATTTTCTTTGCGCATTATTCGATTTATTCTACGTACCACCACTGGTATTTGTCCCACGGCTCTATCTAGAACCAAGTGTTTATAATGAATTCAATACATATCAGGCCAGAATGAAAAGAGCTCATGAACCAGATATGGCCCATGGGCCACCAGTTGATTATCTTTGCTTTGGTCTCCAGTAGTCCTGACACCTGACATTTTACTGATTTTAGTCATGTGTGAAATCACCTCAGTGATATTAATGAGTTTGCACTGGATGTTTGAGTTCTCAGTGATATCTTGAGTCTTCAGAAATATTTAGTGAGTCCTGTTTGAACAATCAAAACACCATATGCTATGTTATTTAGATATTTTGTTTCTGTTGGTCAGATATTAGATGTTGAATGCCCAGTAAGATCATCCCGGCCCGGGACCTTTCTAGGCGGAGTTTGCATGTTCTCTCCGTGCATGCGTGGGTTTTCTCCAGGTACTCCAGTTTCCTCCCACACACTAAAAACATGCATGTTAGGCTGATAACTCTAAATTGTCCCTAAATGTGAGTTAGAGAGTGAATGGTTGTCTCTGTGTGTCCTTGTGATGGACTTGTGACCTGTCCAGGGTGTCCCCCGTCTCTCGCACAGTGACTGCTGGACATGGACACCAGTGACCCCCCGTGACCCGGAAAGGAAGAAGCAGGTAAAGATAATGGAGTGTGCCATTCTTACTGTAGTGTCCACTGCTGTGACTGCATAGGCTGGAACATGTGTTGAAGTTTCCTCCTGTGCCTTGAGCACCACACAGCCTTGGGGTCCTAAAGTGATGATGACCGCCCCACAGCCTCGTTTCAGCAGCTCCTGGGCAGCACGATGTGCTTCCTCCACATTTTTTACTGAACAGCCAGTGAGTAACTCAGCCTGCAAGGAGGACATGTGAGGAAAATTAGTCATTTTTAGGTCAAGAGGACTAGTTAATCAGAGGTTAAGAATTCCAAACAAAAATGAAAACATGCACCGATACGAGATACTGCGGTGGGAAAAATGTCAAAAATAAAACTCAGCAACACATGGTGTGATTTTATCCAAGCTTCGTTCTCTGCTTTTCGCTATTTTAATAAACAGTTAAATATAACACATTTATGATCAAACATATTTAAATAGAAATACATTTCTAATTTATTTTATTTATTTTTCAGCTTTAGCTTGCTGCTGGGTGTTACCAGCTCTGGTATGAGTCAGCTCATAATTACACACGCCGACCGTGGTCATGCAGACTCATAAAACACACTCAGTCTGTAAAGGATTTAACGATCCATCAGCGAACAGCAGGCTGCACGTTCTCAAAGAGAAGATCCTCTGACGGTGCTGCTTCATCCGAGTCCAGCGTGATGAAATGGTGACAAAGCAGGACTTTACAGCTGATGATCAAAAGACTTCAAGGAAACTCAGAACTGCACTTGCAGAAGATGAGCAACACTAACAGATTCTGTCCAGCATCTCTAACGCTCGATCACTGTCGTGGAGGGACAGCTGGAGCACCATTATATTAATGTCACTTATTTGAAGTATAATAACATAATTTTTTAACCATATTATGTTTAAAAACAAACAAATATTTTATTTAAATTTCTAGTTTTTTTGTTGCTCATCTTATGAATAAGTACTAGAACTGACCCAGAATCAGTATAAATGATGCACTCAGTTACAACTGGAACTTATTGATCCAAAGTTAGCCAGTGTAAAAAGCAGTGACCTATAACTTAAACAGCATTTTACAAATGTATTTATTTATTTAAATTCTGATCACATTAAATAAGCTGTGTGTTCCCCACAGGGGAATTCTTGTGGTCAAAGGTGCTTTAGTCCAAATGAAATGTATTAAATATTTAAAAAAGGGGGAAAAAATATGTGATGAGCCTAAAATAAACAAATGCATAAATGCTTAAATAAACAAACAAATGCATCTATAGTGAATATAAGAATCTGAAAGAAGACTTTGCTTCCATTTCCTTAAGAAATAAGAAAATAAAATTGATATTCAATCTGTCAAAGTTCATGCTCAATAATTCAGGTAGAAAATCCAACAAAGTTCAGTCAGGTCATCTGGACGTTTTTTTTTTAGACGTTTTGTCCTCCATCCAAAGGACTTCATCAGACCGAGGAGCAACAACAAACTCAGTCCCATAGGTAGCACACTCCCAGAGTGGGCCAACCAGTTTGCTGGTAATACAATAAGCACTTTGGTAACAGTTTCTGTTTTAAATGTGCTCTATAAATAAATCTGACTTGACTTGACAATGGTTTCTGGGGCCCACCCTTTCACCCGTCGACTCCTCTGAGGCAGCCATAGCCAAAGTGGTTCAAAACGTCAAAGTTTTGATGAAGTCCTTTGGATGAAAGATGAAACGTCTCAACAACAAACAAAAAAAGAAACCGTCCAGATGACCTGACTGAACTTTGTTGAATTTTCAATCTGGCTCTAAAAGCACATAGTTATTTTTCTACTTCATTAAAACGTTACTTTAAAAAGTTTCCAGATATGAAGTTAAACTTAAGTTTAGTCACATCAAGATAAAACCATAGATTTTATCATTTTATTCTAAGTATTAATGTTTTCTTCTGAGGACACTGAGGGTGCAGGAAAGATGATCTGAGGGCCACTTCTCACTGTTTGTTGCCCACATGTGGTTTAATGCTTATTTTGGCATCAGTGGTCACCAGGTGGACTTTAAAGACAGCTTCTTTGACAATAAAAACGATCAAAGGGCTGCAGAACTTTGTCATCTTCAAGTCTCACTTTCACTCCTTCCAACTCCGAGCCGAAGCATGGCACCGTGAGGGAAAACAAACACCTGCGCAGCGAGTGTGTCAGCTACAGAATCAGACGGTGGGGGTCAACACGCAGCTGACGAGCATGCTGAATGGACCACAACCTTCCATCCACCCTTCTGACCTGTGTTTGAGTGTCAGAGAACCACAATCAGTTCAAAAATAAAACCGCAGAGCGTTTCAGTGCTTTTAGAGCCCGCAGCCAACTCTGATGCTAAAAGAGAAAAGGAGCCGTTTTGTTAGTCATCAGCTTCCCACCAGGGCAATCAATCTACCTCCCTCTGCGCTCAGGAATACGAGTAGAATTACTCCTCTCCTGCTATTTGAGTGTGAGTGTGTGTGTATGTGTGTAAGTCCATACAGGAGCAACTATTTTTGAAGCATATGCAGTAAAAATCTGTTGACTATGTGGGCGTTTTTCAAAAAAAAAAAAAAAAAAATGTTTATGCACAAAAGATTTTACAGCTTTTTATTTTCATCCGTTTTATTCTTTTCAGCTTGCTTTATAAACCGTAAAATACTATATATCACAAGTTTACGTTACAAATATATAGATTTTTGTATTCTTGGTGCAAACTGACGATTATCGGTATATTTTTAAAGCTTAAAGTTGTAAGATTAGTAAATTGTATTTTAAAATAGGATATGTCCTTATGAAATTTGTTATATAATTTTCAAAAATATGGTTTAAACTATTTAAAATTATTCTACTTGATAATAATAGGTGGAAAAAGATGTCTGGGCCTCCCTGCTCAAGCTGCTGCCCCCATGACCCAACTTCGGAATAAGTGGAAGATAATGGATGGATGGGTGGATGGATGGATGGATGGATGGATGGATGGAAGAATAAAAAAATAAAACTGGCAGAGTAGATTTCCGTGAAACACAAAATACCATAAAGCATTATGTATAACATAAATATATCCTGTAACTTTTTATCTTTAAAAATTCTCTTAACAGACAAAAATGCTAATCTTGAGTGTCTTTACTGCAGTTTTAAATGAACAAATATTAAATATGATGCGCTACAGTTAAGTAAAAAAAAAAAAAAAAAGATTAGAAGCAAAGAAAACAAAAGTAACAAATAAAAAAAGTAAAATTGTTCTAAAATATTCAACAATCAGAAGATAATTTTTTTTTTCAAAGCAAGATAATTTTGGCTTATAACTACACGTAAATTAAATGCAGTTTACTATTTTTCTTCAGTGTTTATTGTTTTTATACTACTAGTGCTTAGCGTATTTTTAGTTAATGTTTCTTAGTTTATATCTTAGATCTTATTACTGTTTTTCTTTTACATTTTATACGTTTGTTGGATGTAACTGGGACCCTGTGTACACAATTTCCTTCCACCTCATGTACCACATGCGATGCGAATGACAAAGAACCTTGAATTTTTTGGCCCTACTACGTAGCGTTTTATTTTAAAGTTGTAATAAAGTGTTTTTAAATATATTTCAGATACTGTACAGAGAAAAAATGTCATTTACTTCTTAAATGTTCTACTTGACTTACATTTCAGCCCATGACTAATACTTGTCTCTGGGTGGGATACTTCAGAGCCTTTTCAACACCCGACATACTTCCTAATAAAAAGCATGACAGTACCTCGATGACCTGACAATCGGAGGCGGGGGGAGGGGGGGGCATGTTGCACTTTCGTCAACTCTCCCTTTCATGTTCCTACACCTGGAGACAGCATCTCGACGCCCTGCATCACATCAAACAAAGGCTCCCAGGAAAACTGACATGCACCTTACCCCGAAGGGTGGGTGACTGAGTCAGAGCACATCTGCCCTGTTGTTTTTACCATTTCCATCTATCCCTGCCCCCTGCTGCTCATCTGTCAACACTTGACAGGCAGAACTCACGGTGTCTTGACATACTTTTTGTCTTCTTCATAGCAGTTTATACGGGTGAATAAAGGCTGCAGTCAGGTTTATTGACGTGCTGGTGGGGTTCATGACCCAGTATGCGTCTGTGAAAGATTTATATTTACAGTGTGAATGCTCAAGCTGCACATCATTTTCTTCCGATGTTGCTGAATGGACATCTGTTGATTTGAAGTTACTGCCTTTTGCAAAACAAATACATAAAATAAAAATTGCAAGAGCGTGTTCCAGATGTGTTGTAACAGACAACCAGTATGTTAAAGCAAACACCACTTCAAGACTGTACTGACGTAATTTTCTTTTAAAAAGTACTTCTGTGTAGCTTCTACACACTTCAAAATTTACCAGCTCCTTATATTTTTTGCTAAATACATTTTTTTTTTATGATTCAAAAGTGGCAATTTCAGTTCTTAAGTTTCTAAAGAGTTACAGATAAAAGGCACAAAAAAATATATGCTGTTTTCAGGTGGACTTTAATGTTTGTTTAAAAGATGAGTAATTTTTTTATCAACTCTATGCAAGATTAAAGTAGACCAGCTGACTGTTTAACTTTTTAAAAATATTGATTCCATACACCAGCACGTTACTTTATTTGTCTGAGATGAAACTTGAGGCTATTTATTTTCAAATATAATTCATGCTACTCTTTAGATCCTTGTTTTAAGGTTTTGGGTTTAAAATAAGTCAAATATGGTAAGCCAAAGAAAGGCTTTTATGACACAAATGTCTAAAAAGCCTTTATTATTGAAATAAACTCCTTTTTATGTTTTATGATTTATTAAAGTAATTATTCTCTCATTCATCAAAAACATTAACAGGGTAATTAAAAAAAACAGAATCCATTTTTCAAAAATCATTTTAAGGGCCAAAATCTTCCAATTGAATGGCTATCGATTCACAGGTCTATCTATCTATCCGTCTGTCTGTCTGTCTCCATCCATTCAGCCATCCATCTCCGTCCTTCCGTCTTTCCATTAGTTTGTCTGTCCGTCCATCAGTATGTCCATCTGTCTGTCTTTCCGTTCGTATGTCAATCCATCATTCATCTGTCCGTCTGCCTTTACATCCATTTGTCCGTCTGCCTTTCCATCCATCTGTCCGTCAGTCTTTCCATCCATCCATCCATCCATCCATCCATCCATATCTATTTAAATGGTCATATAAGATCTTGGAACCGTTTATATCTATAGGCTGATTTTTATTAACCCTACTTTTAAAAACAAGATTTTTTTTTAAATGGCTGTCTTTGGTAAATATGTTGCAGGTCTTCTATGAATATATTCCAAAATCTAAGCTTGTGAGACAAAACACAAAAATCTTAGGTTAAAAAAAAAAAAATTCTGCAATGGAAATCAAAGCAGAAAATGTACAATCTACAAAAATATCAATAAACACTAAGTCAAGGTCAAGGTCAAGGTCAAACACAAGGTGGGCGTCCCACCCTGTCAACAGAACTGAGCACAGTGCCTACTAAAACCCCACCTCCACCCATGCCCTGTCCAACAACTGCCCTGCCAAGGCCAGTAATCTAAGGGAAACACTGGAGTTTGTTTATTCAGTTTCCATCCTCGAGCTCAGCATTAATAATTTAATTTGCCTTTAAAGTGCATGTTTAAGAGAACAATTTTATGTGTAAGGAGGTATAATCACTAATGTGATCATCAGTGTGATCTGCGTGTGATTAATCACCTCAGACTCATTACAGCAAAACACATCAGACACTCCGTAGAAACTGTAGTCCAAATCAGGAATGGCAGGAGCAGGGTTGAATATTGTCTTCACTGCAACAGAAAACAAAAGTGATCCATTTTATTGAAACAGCATCATTGACAGTTTACACAAGGTGTTTTCTCATTAGGAAAGTCTAAAAACTATTTGCTCTTGATAATAATTAACTAACTTCAGCTTTCAGCTTGTTTTGAATAGATAGTAACTGTTTAACTCAAAGACACATTTTGTGATTTCTCTTTTTCTATGCTTGGGCCTACGTGCCAAGATTCAGTGACACATTAGTGAAAATTTCAGTGGCAACAAAGATTTCTGGCAAGTGCACGTGCTTCTATAAAACGGCATGTTTTAAACAATGAAATTAAAGGGAAAACATTTATTCGACTTCATATCTTGCAGCATTTAACAGTTTTATTAGATTTGTGTGAGGCAAGATGCTTCAATATGCATGTACATACAGTATATAAATATGTGAGTGTGTATGTGTGTGTGTCAGTGAGTGGGTGTGATGATTTGTGACCCTTTCTGTGCATTAAAAAATTTGAGCGTGTGCGCCTGAAGTAATCCTTTGGATGTGTTGCAAATCACTGTCTAATGCATATTCATGAGCAGAGAGCATTAATGCATCTAATACCATGATTTCTGTGTATGTGTGAGGATAAGCCCAGCTTGACGAAGTGATTAATTCTGATATCTCTGTGTACAAAATAAAGCCTCGCGCGAGTGTCTGAGTGAAATATACATATCGGCGACGGTGACATCAAAGTCTGTTGCAGAAGTGTGAGAGTGTGTTTGCGTGGGATCACAAGAGAGCAGATGCGTGGGTTTGCGCAGGGCTTTGGCCACCTGGCACTTTGAGGTAGATGCTCGGCTGCTCGCGAGCAAAAGTGGAAATGTCTACTTTTCAGCACACATGAAATGCTTCTACTTTATGTGCACTCGTGAGCTAAAAGAGAAGTGTCACCCTTCCCTTTCCCCCTGTGTCAGTTTCAACTCAACTGCACCTCAGTTCCCATCACTTTAGCTTCCAAGACAAACATTAGATCTGTGAAAAGTGATGCCTCTGTCTGAAAGTAGAAAGGATATCTGACAACCTGCCTGTCACCATTTCAGTACAAACAGTCTTTAAATGCTTCTGTTCTGACAAGGGTGCACCCACTCTCATATTTTTCCACTTTCACTGCATTACAACTTGGAACTTTTTTTGTTGTTGTTGTTGAGGATTTGGATAATTTGATGAGGACAGTACGGCTCCACTTGAGTGAGATATTTCATTTATACATGCACATTCATTTTAGAAACTCTTGCAAAAGGTACAACTACATGTACCTTTGGGTATCTAATAGTCACTGGGATTTGTGCCCATTTCTTCAAGCTACATGGGTTCTGCAAGTGTTCAGTCATTTTTAACTCCTACCACAGATTTTCAAGCAGACTGAGATCTGGGCTCTAACATTTGCAGTACGTTCAGTCTGTTGTTAAAGGAGCACTCTTATCCAAACACATACAGGTTTCCCTCAAGAGTGCACTTATATTTATCTTAATCAGTCATACCTTCCATTTTAACCAGGCTTCCGGGCTTAGGAATTAATAAAATAAAGGCGTAATTTGCTTTACTTAATATCTAAATTAGTATGCAGTTAGAAGAGAGTATCTTCAGAACCTATACTAAATACAGTATGTGTTTTTTTTTTTTTTTTTCCATTTCATGGTACAATGCAACACAAACTTGTATTTACTTCTACCTAAAAGTCGACTTTTGGATTATCATTCATAAAACTTGGCTAAATATATCAAGCGTTTTCAACTAAAGAAATTGATGATTGACTAGAAAAATTATGGCCCCAACAGGACAGCCTAAAAAAAACTAAAGGGTAATAACATTAAAGTTGATGCTCAATAATCCAGGTTAAAAAAAATCCAACAACATTAAGCCAGGTCTTCTGGACAGTTTCTTTTTCTGAAGCGTTTCATCTTTCACCAAAAGGACTTCATCAGTCTAAGGAGCCACAATAAATTCAGTCCCATAAGTAACACACTCGCATAGTGGGCCAACCAGTTTGATGGTGATAAGATGATTTCTGGAGTCTGCCCTCTCCCCTGTTGACTCCTCTGAGGCATTAAAGGGTAATAACGTTCTCAGTTTTCTACATGCTGAAAAAAAAAAGGAACTACCATCTAGAAAAGCTAAAGCTACGTCATTAATAACAACCAAACAGACAACAGGTCCCAGTGGGTAAACGGTGACATTCATGAACTGATCAATGGAAAGTTGTGTTCAGTGATGAATCAGCATTGGACAAGGAGATGATGATGGAAAATTATTCAAAGGCCTAAATAAAGGCCTGTGCTAAAATAGAAAGCAATGAAAATACGAAAAATACATTTGAAAAAGGAAGCAACAATATTCAGACAATAGCAACTTGGTTGAAATCCATCCATCCATTCTCTTCCGCTTATCCGAGGTCAGGTCGCGGGGGTAGCAGCCTAAGTAGGGAGGCCCAGACTTCCCTCTCCCCAGCCACTTGGTCCAGTTCCTCCAGGGGAATCCCAAGGCGTTCCCAGGCCAGCCGAGAAACATAGTCCCTACAGCGTGTCCTGGGTCTTCCTCTGGGCCTCCTTCCAGTGGGACGTGCCCGGAACACCTCAACAGGGATGCGTCCAGGAGGCATCCTAACCAGATGCTCGAGCCACCTCAATTGGCTCCTCTCGATGTGGAGAAGCAGCGGCTCTACTCTGAGTCCCTCCCGGATGACCGAGCTTCTCACCCTATCTCTAAGGGAGAGCCCAGACACCCTGCGGAGAAAACTCATTTAGGCTGCTTGCATCCGAGATCTCGTTCTTTCGGTCACAACCCAAAACTCATGACCCATGATGAGGGAAGGAACATAGATCGACCGGTAAATTGAGAGCTTCGCTTTTTGACTCGGCTCTCTCTTCACCACGACAGACTGATACAGCGCCCACTTCACTGCCGATGCTGGACCTATCCGCCTATCGATCTCACGTGCCATTTTTCCCTCATTTGTGAACAAGACCCCGAGATACTTAGGTTGAAATCCCTGATCCACTAATGCATGAAGGAATCTGCCTCATTGATATGTTTGAGCTGCTACTCTGCATGTCACATAAACCGTCGCATCTGTCTCAGGTTGCTTTGTTTTTCTCTCCAGGTGTTAGTGAAACCACACAAACTGACACGCACAGACACGCTCACAGCTGCTGGGACAGATGTGGCAATTCTGGGATATGTGCATACTGAGTCACGTCTGGCAGAGAAGCATGTGTTTGTGTTTCATGACTGGGCTTTTTTACGCTGGCTGGTTCAAAGTCTGGTCGCACATGAGTCGAAAGAGCAGCCAGGGGAGTTTCAGGGAGCATAAAAAATGCAGCTGTTTGTTGATGTGGCTGGTTTTGGAGGAGGTTTAGACAAAACAAGGCCAGAGAGAAAACAGTAAAACAAACACTTACATGCACGCACACAAAGGAGATGAGTCACTAGTGAGTATGCAAAAAAAGGCTTTAAGAGGCTCTAATATCATCTGGTATGAAATAAAATAGCAGCTCGTTGCTAAGACAAGAAAAAGAAGGGGAGGGAGAGCAAAGGGAAAGTGGGAAACTGCACAACTTTTACCATTTCTCTGTTCTTAGAAATTAATATTTTCCATTAACTTCTAATATTAAATGTCCGTTGGCAATACTTACGCATATTTTCGCCTCAAATAATAGCCTAAATGAAGAGAAAACTTTTCTTCATAGGTTATCAAGACTTTCTAAGAACTGGCATCTACAGTAAGTGTTGCTCGATAGTGACATTTGCGTAATTTGAGTGTCGCTTCACCCCCGCAATATTAAATCCATTAACACCCGCTCTCTCCAGAGAACTCCATTTACGCAATACTCTGGTGTGGCGATGTTGAGGTGGCTGCTTTGCCAAACGTCTGCGCTCGCCTTGCATCTCTTCTGGCACCTCATGCCAAGCTGACGCCCGTGGTATGGTTGACACGGAGAGGAGGGGGGCTTGAGGAAGGAGGGTGGCACTCAGAGAGGCCATCTGGGTATCCCATCTGCAACATGGTTATGGCTGTGGCTCTTTTGCTCTGGCAGCATGCAGCCAGCGATTATGGATGACAGGCCCTGATGACAGGGGCGAGAGGCTCCCCAGACGTCTTCAATGATGTGGAGGGATGCTAATAATAGATGATTAGCTTTCCAACCTTTTTATGAAAGAAAGGCGGAAGGAGGAACGGGAAACGGGGACAAAGGTGATCCAAAATGTTTTTGTTTTTTTTATGAACTCAGAAACCCATGTGAAAACATAACTTGTCTACTTTTTAACTTTTTTTTTTTTAGTTAGTAGGATATACATGTTAAGGAGCGGCTGTGGCTGAGTGGTTAGACCAGTCGTCCTCCAATGCAAGAGTTGAGGGTTCGATTCCACCGGTAGTCACATGCTGAAGTGTCCCTGAGCAAGACACTGAACCCCTCATTGCCACTGATGTGTGTCCCATCGGTGTATGAATGTGATAAAGCACTGATTAGTCTTTGTATAGCTATAGTAGAGTGCTGTATGAACGGGTAAATGAAGGCACAGATTGTAGTGTAAAGTGCTTTGAGTATCTTGATAAGATTGAAAAGTGTTATATAAGTGCAGTCCATTTACCATTTACATGTTTAAAAAGCTATTGTAATTTGTGCAATCTCATTCAAATGGTAAATTTCTTAAGTATCATAAAGAATCTTGAAAAACACTGGCAGATAAGAAATCAGGTCTTATTGACTGTATGCCATTATTTTGTCACATGAATGAATCACATGACTAAAATGGCTTAGTCAAGGCTGGTATTGACTTGCACTTGTAATAGTGTTTTCACACCTAAGTTATATGTAAACACACGTTTAAATGCAGCCATTTACTACAATAGGATGATTACTTGTTTAAAAACACATTTTTTCTTTGGCTTTTAATGTAGAGTGAGCTAGCATCTGTGTCTTAATGTATTCTTTTACTTGTGATATGCTGATTATATTATATATATATATATATATATATATATATATATATATATA